TGACTTCCTTCACTTGCATATTTAGTTTTCTATAATTCATGGATGACTAGAATTAAGGAAAACTAACAACAGAACTGTGTGGCATACAAATGTATTTTATATTTAAATCTTTAACACATTTGGAATTTATTTCGATGTTAATCTCCCCACTTCCCTGCCATTTTCTGACTTCCATTCTTTCGCCCAAGAATTTGCAGTGTTATCTCCATTATATGCTAAATTCCTATGAATTTTTTATTCTGTTCACTTGATTTGTGTCTATTTCTATATTAATATACACTGTTTTTAATTATTGAAGCTTTATAACACAATATCCAGTACAGCACAGTTCTCTTCATTCTTTTTCAAAAATGTTGGCATACGTTTATTTTTCTAGATGAAGTTTAGACTCATTTCCCAGCATTAAAAAGACTACTGTTGGATTTTTTTGGTGGGGAAGGGGAATTATGTTAAATTTGTAGACAAACTTAGTAACATTGCCATTTTTATTTTGAGGGTTCGTATACGGGAATGTGCTATTCTTTCCATTTATTTAGATTTTCTTATGTCTCTCAGCAGTTTTATAGTTTTCTTAGAAATCCTTCTCAAACTGTTTTAAGTTTGTTTTTAAATATGCTATCTTTTCTTCTTGCTATTGTACATGAAATAGTTTAGAGTTTCTGGACATGGCTACACTTCCAGAGATGTGCTTGGATTTCCAAGATCAGTACTTTTTGTCCCAATTTTTATTTTCCTTTGGCCATCACAGTAGAGATGTAGGAAGCAGGCCCAGGGCATTTCAGATGCTTTCCTCCCAACCTTGGACTTCCTTCTTCCCCTGCCTTTATATGATATGGGTGGCCACGGAGTCTTTTCTTTTTGCATGAAATAGCTTTATAAAATCCTTGCTAATTTTTAAATGTAAAAAATAGTACCTTTAGTGTAAGCAAGACCTGTGTTTCTATAGAAAATGGATTAGAGTTTTCATGAAATCTTTTAATGACAAAAGATGCCTGTTTTCTTTAAGGAAGAGTTTATTGAATTGGATTTTACCAGATAGCCTCTACTTACCTAGTGAGATACTTGGAGTTCTCTACTGATTTAAAAGGAATATTATAGTGCTATAATTATCTCTGTTTGCTCCCAGTAATTATCCTTCTACAAAGGAAGCTAGGATTGAAAGAATAACTGCTACCATATATGGAGCACTCCATATCAGACCCTGGCCCAGGTGCTTCTTTACCTTTTCTCAGTAATACAGCGGCCCTCATGTAGGCGTTGTCATCCTCCTCCTACTGCTGAGGAAACATGGATGCTACGTGGAGTTAAGAAATTTGCTCCAGGTCACACAGGGAGTAAGTGGCAAAGCTAGGATCCCAAATTTTTACTCTTAATCACAACAATAATAGTTGGTTGCACAGTGACTGCCAGATTCAGAATTAAAATTAAAAACAAAGAAAATCTGAGATACTTTAAAAACTTATTGAAGAGGAGCTATAGCTTGTATCTAATTTATAGGTCATGCTCGATTCTGAGCATTACCGATGATAGCTCAAAGATTGGTTATATTATGCTACTGTAGCCCAAAGGTATATAAAACCCATTCAGAATAACTAAATTGACATTTCTGAAGAGTCAGCAGGTGAAATGTATCAAAGTTCATAACCTAGGTACAAAGTAGTTGGATCACTGCCAAAAAGAAGACAGTCAAGGACAGGAGGGAGCCAGGGTTTGACACAACCCTTTTCTGCGGGGGTGGGGAGCTGGGAGGCAGCTCTTGGCAACAGAAGGAGGACTGTCTGAAGAAGATATGATGGGAGGAGATCCAAGGACGAGTCAGATCAAGGTATCAAGTGGCTTCCTGTTGAGGATATTGGCAAAACCCCCGCTAGTTCCCCAAAGGGGAGTGGCCACGTTCAAAATGGGACCTGGTTCAAAATGGGACACTAGGCCCTCCTAGAAGATCAGAGCCTTGGCAAGGTACTAGTCAGGACTAAGGAGGGAGAGCTGAGACCAGTGCCTGTTCTGCTTGTTTTGGATCTGGGAGCTCCACGGGTGCTTGGGCTAGCCAAAGTGGTTCAGATCCCAGCGTGGAGTGTGTGTGTGTCTGGGTGTCTCCAAGGTGAGGATCCTCAGTGGGAGCTGTCACTGAGAGGTCTCTTTGCTTTTTCATCTGGTTCAGGAATTGAATTTCATTACTGTGTGATGGAACTGAGCCTGCTTCATATACCTCATCCCTTCTTGTGGTTAGCCTGGGCACGGACCTGGGGACATGTGTGCAGGTGGGCAGAGCAGCCATCAGGCGGGAACAGTGAGGTGCTGGAGAAGGCCATGGCTGGCACTGCCAAAGACAGAGGCTGGCTCTGGATCTCTACGAAATCCAGAAAGCGTTTCAGTGCTATTTTCACAGAATGAGGCCAGAAAACACTGAGTGAACATGGATTATCCTCAGCTCGAATTAGTCAATCGCTTATTTCCAGTCTCACAACTGGGAGTGTTCTTTGGAAACCCACATTTGGGTAGTGAAAACCGTACTTTCTGGGTTAGACTCCCTGTATAACTAAAAATGACGATGCAGAGAAAGATGACTTTATATTTTTATCAGTAGACAAACTTCCTGAAAAATTTACATACTCATCTGTAGATAAACCCACATAATAAAAAACCAATATGACACTGTTCTGAATCATGCAGTCTTTGCAATTAACAAGCAGGCTTAAAAATGTCTAATTGTAATTTTTGAGTGTTTTTCCTAACTCTACAGTTAGTCTATAAACTTTGTAGTATGAAATAAGTTGGATAACTGTATGTGAGTGGATTATACTTTCTCACGGTGTTTCTAGTACATGATCCGTTTTCATAGCTCTTTTCAAAGAATATCATCATCCAAGGTGAACAAGTATATTGTACAAGTTCCCCTTTTCTTTCCCCACCCCCCATGCAATATTGGAAAGAACAAACCTCTAATGTGAGTCAACACATGGACATGTTTTCAGGTCAAGTAGAAATCTTATAAAGTAGTGAGGCATTTGTACCATAAAATCTTCCTAGCTCAGGAATGAATGTTGTTCTCCTCGAGCTTGTCGAGGCTTAGAGTGCCTTTGGAGAGTCTAGAACAGTGCCTTCCAGATCCAGATGAGGAAGGAGGCTGAGAAGCGGACGAGTCAGGGGCTCAGAAGGGTGTCTAATGCACCACCTATTAGATCTGCCTTGGGGGAACATCCCAAAGTCTTGATACAAGGGTATGAATTCACTTCCTTGGTCAATACCATGCATAGTGACCTGTCTTAGAGCTTTCTGAAGCCGTTTTTTTTCTTTTGGTCTGCATTCCCAACTTTTATTAATGCAGTAAAAAATTTTAAGAGAGAGAAAAAGGACAAACTAAGCTTTAAGATTTTCTCTCAGTTCAGCTGAAGGTAGCCTTCCAGGCTCGCAGGAGCTCTGCTCCAGGTTGTTGTGTGTGGAGAGTGGCCTGTGTCTAAAACCCCAGGACCTTGAGCACTGCTGAAGGTGCAAAGATGTAGTAGAGAGAGACTCTGTCCTCAAGAAGCTTAAAGTCTAGTTGATTAGATGGCATAATCTATTCAGCAAACATTTATTAAGCATGTGGGAGACACTGTGGCAACACAGCAATGATTAAGCTATAGTCCCAACATTCTAAGGAGTTTGTTTGCAGTGAATGATTAAGTAACAATGCCAAACAATTCAGGAAGAACAGTCAGTCAGCTTCCCAGTGAATAATATAAACAAATAAGTACTCAGAAAATGGAGGCATCACTATGGGCTGGAATGACCTGTGAAGGCATTAAGGAGGTGGTAGGCCGAAGCAAAAACTTTGAATCTTGGCCATTTCTCACATTCATAGGATCTGCTAGGTTCTAGAATAAAGCCCCAAAACCAAGGTTTCAATGAAGTAGTAAATCGTTTTCCAAAATTTTAAGAACTCTTGCGCCCTGGTCAGTCTGTGACTAAGGGCTCTCCCTTCAGTAGGTCACTGGCTTCTACCTCATCCAGCCTCTCTCCCCCACTCTGTCCCATTGCAGTGTTCTGCCATGCTCCAGGACATGCACATGGTTATCCCCAGCTGTTCATCATTCTTGTTAGTGTAGCAATACCAATGATGTCCTTTTTCATTTAAAAACATATATATACATTTAACTTTTTGATTAGCAATTCTTTACATCATTGAAAAACCAAAAAGCATAAAAAAGTTATTCAGTAAAAATTACCCCCCTTCTTTTGTCCCAGTCTGACTATTCCTTGACTTCCCTCTGACCAGCTACTGTTACTGATTTCCGATGTATCACTCTAGACTTTATGTCCATACAAGAAAACACAAATATAGTTTTTCCTCCATTTTTACCCAAAGATAGCATGTTATATGCAGTTCGATGTCTTGCTTTTCTTCACTTTATATCTGAAAGTTCTTTCCTAATAGCACATAGAGCACATTCTCTTCTCATAGCTGCATAGTACTCCACTGTGTGGATGTAGTATAATCTATTTAACCAGGTCCCTACTGATGGTCATTTGGGTTATTTCAGTCTTTGCTATTTCAAATAAAGCTATAATGAATAACCGTACACGTGTCATTCTCATGTGTAAATACTATCTACAGCAATGAGATAGTGATTTAGTGGTCCTGAATGGGGAAAGTACGGTTTAAAAGGATTCTCACCCTGGCATGTCACTATTTTCTGAATTTAGATTTTTCCTGTGGGTCACATCATTACCCAGAAATCTAAATATAACCTGATAAATGTACCTAATAATAGCAGATATTTGTCCCTACTCTGACACTTATAAATAGACTTAACTGTAGAAAATCTTGGATTTTGCTTCTCTTTGGTTTTCACCAGAGTTGTCTGGTTTCAAAAGATGTTTATTTGGCAAGTGGTCATTGGTGGCATTTGCCCTCAGTGAGCCTGGGCAACTTCATACTCTTTTAGAACTTGTTCTTTAGGGGTGCTTGCTGGCCCACCATGAAATTCTCAAATGCTACTGTGATCTTGCTTTTGTAGACGGGCCCATCTTCGCTTGTGCCTGGAGAAGCTGAAGGGGCTAGTGCCGCTTGGGCCCGAATCAAATCGACACACTACACTGAGTTTATTAACAAAAGCCAAATTGCACATAAAGGTAAGTGTATCCTTGAGATGCCTTTTTATCTTTACCTGTCCAATAACGGTCTCTTTGTTGTTATGAGGACAGCAAATGTATATCTCCAGGATAGTCCTCCCCTGTGAGCTCTCTCATTTTGCCTCAGCGATGAATCCCAGGCATCCCAAACTCAACATGTCCAGACCCAACTGAGTATTTCTCACCCCTAGGCACCAGAAGTTAAGCGGTCCATCCAACTGCCCATCTGATTATACAAGCCAGAAACTCAGGGTCACCCTTGTTAGCTCTTGCTCTTTAGCTATATATACCTAAGTCTCCAAGACCTAAATATTTCATAGCCTTGTCTCCTTCCATTTTCATCTCATCATCATCTACTATAAACTCACGACTTCTCCCTGAGCCGATTTCCATGCTTCCCAAGAACAGTGCTTCCAAAGCTCAAATCAACATGTCACCTTGTTTAGAACTCTTCTGTGGCTTCGGATATACTATCACCAGGCCCACCCCATGCTCCTCCGCCTGACCTACCCCTCACCTGTGTACAGCGTCATCTTGTGCCAGGACATTACCCTCTCTGCTCCAGCCCTTCTTTCAGTCCCTAGCACTTGTCATGCTCTCTGACCGCAGGGTCTTTGCACGTGGTGTTTCCTCTGCTTGGTATGCTTTCCCTTCCTTTCTTCACCTAGTTAACTGCTTGTCATCCTTCAGATCTCAGCCACAGAAAGCACTGGCTCAGGGAAACCTTCCTGTGACGGGTGTCCTATAACTGGGTGTCTCTGTCTTTCTCAGCACTTGTCACAGTTAACATCCAACAGTGGTTTATGTGACTATTTGGTTGTCTCCATCCTTCAAATGTAGAATCCACAACGGAGGAGACTAGGTCTTTGTGTTCACCTTGTATCCCCAGCACCTCTTGCGGGGTCTGGCACAGAGTCAGCCTCAGTATGTAGTTTGAATAGCAAAGGCGGAGCAAGTTGTATTCAGATTCCTGAAAACCACAGCCCAAATCACTGTGCAGTATGTTTTTATAGTCGTGATTGGATAAATGTCACTTTAATTATGGTTAGTAGCCTGCATACGTGAAAATTCTGGGAGAAAGAGAATCTCTGTTTAGAGCAAAACAACCAAAATTAAACTTCTTAATTATCTGAAGAATATGACAGGCTAGAGGACAGATTTGTAAAAAGAAGTGGTCTATGGAAATGTTTTTAAGCTCTTACGCTGAACAATTTAGAATCCAAACTTCAAAGGGGGGAACTGTTACTTCCTCCTAACAAACAGAAGTTGAGATTTGGCATGACAGAAAAAAGTACTTGTGTAACTGGGACATATACTTGAATAAACACACGTTTAATGGAAGTCTGTTTCTTAAGCTCCCATCACATGCAGTGCGCTAGTTCAGAGATTAGTTCAGGGTAGGATCGTGGACGAGGGAGACCAGGTTGGGGGTTCCTGCCTGCATTCTTTTCAGGATCAAAATTGAGGGGTACCAGGACGCTGAAGTGTCAGAGCTCACCCCTAGAGTCCCTGTGACAGTACGGGTGTTCTCCGCATGGTTAATACTGAAGACACTAGGCCAAGACAGGAATCACTGGCCAGTCAACTTCCTGTCTCTGTGAGAAGCTAGACAAGTGACACGCCAGATGGCTTCTGAGGAGTACTGGCACATTTCGCTGCTAGAGGAAGATACAGGGTCATTGCCAACTTTGAAATCTGCCTGCTAGCTCCAACAGTTACCCCTCTGACTTACAGAAACTTGAAGATTGTGACAGAAAAGCCATTCACCAAATAGACCAGCTTCAGCGAGAGCAGCGACACCTGAAGAGGCAGCTGGAGAAACTGGGCATCGAGAGGATACGGATGGACAGCATCGGCTCCACGGTCTCCTCGGAGCGCTCAGACTCCGACAGGGGTGAGCTCCTCTCCCTGCGTCTTCAACCACCCCTACCCCTTTTCCTCCCACCTGCCAGAGGCAGAGCAGAGAGGGAATTAGGAACCTGCTTGTGATTTAGAGAAGTCGAATAGTATGACCTCCAGTAACCAGTCCCTCTTTCTTTTTAGCAGTTAGGCACCAGCCTCCAAAGAAGGGCTTGACTGGAGTCGTTTTGACTTCCAGCCTGAGTTTTCTAATGCATGCCTTCACCACTGCCTCTCTCTCGTCCTCCCACAGAAGAAATCGATGTGGACGTTGAAAGCACAGACTATCTCACGGGTGAGTTGGACTGGAGCAGCAGCAGCGTGAGTGATTCTGACGAGCGGGGAAGCATGCAGAGCCTCGGCAGTGACGAGGGCTACTCCAGCTCCAGCATCAAGAGAATAAAGCTCCAGGACAATCACAAGACGTGTCTTGGTCTATAAGAGAGAGTGGTCGCTTCGGCTGCCCCCCGGATGGTTCTCCCTGTCGGATCTGATTAGGTAGTGTATTGGACCTGCCCACAATTCCCTTGCACGTAAATTTCAGTGTACCACCTTTACCAAAATCAGCTTTGTAAACGTTTTCAAGGAAGTGCTTAGGATTGTGGGTTTCTGATTGCATCTACTAGCTTCTCTTTCTCTCCATAAAAATTCGTCTCTGAGAGACTGTACATTCCAATCAATTTGAAGCACCCAAGAATTCTTAGACGGAATAAGCAACTTTCACATCTCAGCAATTTTGCCCTCTTATTTACTGTCCCTATGTAGCCTACCAGACCTTTCTTAAAGTTTTCTGGCTTACTGTGTTACTTGCCTAGCAGAAATGTACGAATGTGTCTTGTGCTTAGGAAACTGAAGGAAACAAACTTCTGAAGTTGAGATCCTGATCTCAGAACTCCAAAGTAAGCTTTGAAAGCAGCATTTAAGAGCACTTCACCATGGACCTCACGGCAGTGAGGAGCCCGAAATACCTCCAGAAAGCACCCCCACACACACCCCGCGCTCACCCCCCGACCCGCGTGTGGATGGGAGCAGTATTTCTCACTCTAAAGCGGACACCTGGAGAGCATGTCTTTGGGGTTGCACAGCTCATAAAAGTTCTGATATTGTTTGTTCTCACAAACAAAACGGCACAATCTGTTTTTGTGTGCTGTTCTTGGGACCGCACTGTGTACTGCTACCCCCAAGGCACATGTCCCCTCAAAGTTTGTTATGCTACTTGTCTCTGGAACATTTTTTTTTCCTACCTCAGAGATAAATGAGATCTCCATTTCCCACTTAACACAGTGATTATGCCTTTTTCCCCCCGAATAAGTGACATTTGGTCCAATTCTAATCTATTTTCCTATTTAACTTTCAGCAATAACTGAGCTTTGGCACTAGTTGAGCTAGTGTCCATCATCAGTGAAAGGAAAAATCCATATTTCTACTCTATGTCGCAGGTGAACAGGAGGGGATGGTACAGTGTTACTAGAATTCCTCTCATTATTTTTGGACACACCCAGAAACTTCTTTATGGAGACTTTTGGGTTGATAGTTTAAAAGGCTGATTTTTCTTTTTTGGTTATTTCTCCCTTAAGTGGTCTCCCACTTTGTAGCATTTTTATTTAAGCTAAAACAGAGCACATGTATATGTACATAAGACACATTAAATCTATAAATACTATTTATTCATTTTATATAAACTAATGTAATGGAAAATAAATTCTTATGACTTTGTGCTTTTATAGATGTTCTAGAAACTTTGTATGTAGGTACCTACCAAACTGGTTCATTCCCCTTAATATTTTTGCATTCATATTTTTGAGGTCTTGGTGTTTTCAGCCTCTGGCAAATCTTTTTCATTGAATTTGAACCATTTGTAAAATCTGTGACGCTGAAACAGAGTGTGTGTCACAAAGCGATGAGAACATTCCTAAAATCCACAGACGCACTGCAACCTAAGGGCTCAACGGCTGAGCCGGTAGCGGGCGGCCGCCCCGTGCTCCCGGCTGGCCTGCGGTCTCGCACGCCACAGCCTCCGCTCGACGCCACCACCTTCCACACAACCACACGTTCCAACGCACTCTACACGGAAGCTCATTCCAGACGTGAAGAGCAGTGTAAACAAAGCAAGATTACTTTTGTTTTTCTTTTTAATGATTCTTTAATGTATTTTTTAAATTTTTAATTGGAAGTAGTGGATTGCTAAATGATCCTAAAGTCACGTGTAACTCTTTTGTTTTTGTTTTGTTCTGGTTTTTCCTTCATTTCAGCTTTGGGGGGGGGGGCAGATGACACAAAGGATTTTTTTTTATTATTATTGGAATCTTTTCCAATTACCAGCTGAAGATTTGCACTGAAATACAACTTGTATGCCTTTTGCATTTTTAAAGCCTGCTTCCTGAATTTAAGCAGAGTGATAGTGTTCAAAGAGCCAGCTCAGCCTGTAACACGTTTGAAAAAGATATATCTGCACTTTGAGGTCCCTTTCGAATGCCATTCGCTCGACCTCGCAAGCATTTTGTTTAATTGCTACGTTCAAGCGCCTCAAGTCCACGATGCTGGATGGCATCGAAAACTCAAGACTTTGGGAAAAGCTTGTGGGCTTGCATTGGGGGAGGGAAGGGAACGAAATCTGTGTATTTAATTTAGAAATAGGCATCTGCGAGATGCCATTTTCTGTGTTTTAATTGTTGTGCCTTTGAGTTAAACTGCATTTTTGTCTTTTGGTTGAAATATGAAATGTACTGTCCCAATATAAAACAGTAATTATTTGACCTTTGCACTGTTTGTCTGGTCCTTTTCAATTTGACTGCATAGAAATGTGGAACTTGATAGATCGCTGTATTTTCAGTTCACTTGTGATAAACTGACACCAGGGTTAAATATTACTTTCAAAGCTCAAGGTAAACCGAATCAGCATGCTAGCCAGGCGTCTCTCTGACCAAAACTGTAACCTTCAGGACCAGCAAACTCAGCCCAAGGCAGCTAATCCCCTTCCCCACGTGGCTAATCGGCAGCCCTGATTTGCCAATCTGTCCTCATTCACTGATCCACCAGCGTGACTTCAGAGCTATATAGTCTTTTGGGTTGTTTTGGGTTTTTTAAAGCAAAATGAAAAACCTTTCTATTAGGGTCGTTGTGGGGAGGGGATAGGCGAAGATATAAACCCCAGCCTTTAAGACTTTGACAATTGTACGTAAATAGAGATGTGTATAAATATAGGCACGTGCATATTTTTATGTGAAAATTGATTTTAAAAAACTAAATCTAAGCTACACTCATAGCTACCATTGCAATGCAAATGGGAAAATAAGAGTATGTAGTCCAATTTAATTTTATGCAGTGAGAACATTTATGTGTGTGCTTCTGTTAACATCCCAGAAAACGTAGTTGTCCATGCCTGTTGGTTTAGAATGGTGGGCCGAGCACCCAGGGTGGTTTTGTTTGGGTTTTCTTTTGCTAAGCTGAGATCTTAAATTCAAGGTGCTGATAGCGACTGCTGACACCTTTCTCTAGTCCCAGACCCAATTAGTGCTAGTTAGTGATTCAAAGAGCATCACATTTTTGAGCAGGACCTAGATTCTTCTTTCTGTCAACCCAAGACTAAAACCATTTCAGTGTCCATTCAGAACTGAGAACTGAGCAGGCCCTGACCCTAAGACCAGCCACTTGGGTGGTTTGGGCTTTTTTAAGGTAGACGGTTTCCTTTAACCTCTACTTTCTTCAAAAGAAAGAAAAGGGACCTTACCTGGGTTCCCAATGGGCCTCTCGTCTCCATCCCTGAAGTGGCCAAGAGCAAATTCTAGGGTGTAAAAAAAAAAAATGTGTAAAGTACGTAGGATTGTGATGCTCAAAATAACTGTCTGGCAATATCTTGGAGCTTGCTAATGGATTTTTTATGGGCTTTTTTCTTGCCTCTTCTCCATCCTTTAAAGAGAAACCTTATTTTTGCAAAGCATATACATACACATTATTATTTAGGGTTTTACACCATACTGTATTGGCAAGAATACCACTTTCATTGTGCTTTATAATCTATTTATTCCCCCAAACCTCAGTCTTTACTTGTTTCCCCCAAGTTTCTTTGTCTTCCCGCTTTACCTGCCCTGTGTGTTGAGCACCAGGAAGTCAAAGGCTGCAAGGCAATTTCCTGCATGGCAATCTATTATTTTTCTTTGTCTAACTCTTAGATGCAGTATATTTAGGTAGCTGGCTACTCCTGATGTAAAAACTCCTTCCTGGGAGAAGGCACCCTTTAGATGAGGTGGTGTTTCTCACTCTACATGATCAGATCTCTGTTTTTGAAGATAACTGAGGA